AAAAATTTTATTTGTTTCTAGTTATCTTTAGTCTGATAAATTAGTGTATTATTAGTTTTAGATATGATATTTTCATGCATTGTTTCATGTTTTATTTTGTGAATGTGTCTGTTCGAAATTAAAAATCTAATCTAACAAATCTTCACAACATTTCACAAATAAAACATCTTACTCAGCATTACACAAATCATTCATTACGCTCAATACTTATTTATTAATATTATTAATTTATATATAATAAAGCGGATTATAACAATATAAAACTTTAGGAAAAGAATATATAAATGATATAACTACACCATAGAAAAAGATTTTTCTCTTATTTGTTATTACATTAACATAATAACATGAGAAAAAGCAAAAACTTTACAAAGAAATTAAAACAGTATTTACACCTAGCAACTCTTCGACATTTTCCATATTGGAAAGATGTTAAAAATTTGAAAAAAAGTAGACATACAATTTAACTATAAAAGATTACTTAATATACAATATTATTATAATACGTGTACTCGCAATGCTGGTCATACGCATTTGCTCAAAAGAATATTAATTACTAATGCATGTATTCATAATTTCTCTTAGCTACCTATTGTAATGTAAATATATCGAACAATTGCGAGATATTAAAGAGGAAGTTGCTGAAATGATTAAGGGAGAAAAGGAGATGGCGAGGCAGAAGATACTAAAAGGATTTTCGAACTTCGTCTCTCCTCTCCTCCTCCTATGCAGGTAAGTTTGGAAAGTTACCGCATGGTCGGTATCCCAGCGTACCACATAATCTCGACACCTTAAATCACGCGACTAAAGCCCGGTAGTTAGTGGTACGCTGCTACTTTGCGAATTAATATCAGTGGCTAGGAAGATTGTCCGACAAAATTGGAATCCTGTGCCAAAAGAGGCTTTTATGAAAAGAAGATGGTTGCAAAAACACAGAATGTACTTCTTGCGTTAATTTACCGTCCTATAATAATGCAATCATCACTATATCCATAAATAATATGTGTACTGTCGCAAAGCAGACGTAAAATATAAGTATAAATAAAGACTATTTGTGTAAAAAGGTATGATATGTTTAGTTTTTCTAAATTGCATTGCGTACACGTAATACAACTTTACAAAAATTTTAGACTTATAGAATTTCTTTCAACACCATGCGTACAGAAAACTTTAAATTTATTTAATTTAATTTGTATTTATCTAATAAAACGTGCAATTCAAGTTTAAAACTACATAATGATTGTTGACAGAAAAGAAAAAAATTGAAAAATTCGGCGCTGCGATAGATATATAACATCTTTAACACACACTGGACACATAACATTCATAACAGTCATTGGACAATACGGCATTCTGACTAACATTGCAAGTATTAATTGGTATTTTTGTATTAAGCTCTACTTTCCTGTTTGGTTTTAATATAATTTAATAAGAGCAAACAAAATTTAATTTTACAACATCTGTTATAATATTATAAATAATCGTACATAGATAAATTTATTTAGCATTTATATTTTTAGATTTGCATCTCCATAGTCATTATTTTCTCATAGTCATTAAAAAATTAATTTTAAAAAATTTGATTAAATAGACAATTTTTATATAGGCTGCTTTTGCATAAAAATTTTATAAGAAATATTTTTATAAGAATGTATATCATATAGATAATTGTATATACAATTGCAGTAGACTCCCCGTATAACATGGGGGATACGTTCCGTGTTATATGAATCCATGTTATACGAGTCACATAGATTATACATATATAGATTATGTTTGCTTACGAAAACACATATTTGTAAAACATGTAAGGTTTATTATAAAATCTGCAAAATAAATATTAAAGATGTAACAGCAAAATATTTTTTATTTCACTTTAAAAGAAACAAATATTGAAATGTTTCCGTCGTATTATATATAACACCGTATACGGATTCATGTTATATAAACCCATGCTATGTGGAGGTCTATATACTGTACTAGGTTTATTATTAAAAAATAAAACCTTTTTTAATATATTAAAGCGCGTAACGTTAGCTGAGCATCAATTAATACATTTTTGTCAACAATTTCGGAAATTATAATAATACTCAAAGTTTCGAAAGTCATGCTAAAATCCATTGAAAGTACTCGAGGTATTAAAGCGTGATCCATGCGAAGAGAATTTGCCGACGATAAACGCTTGAAGCTAATAAACTTGCGTGTTGCTTTACGTATGTCAACAAGGCAGTTAAAACTTGATGCTTGTCTTGGAGCGATGATAAGCGTTGTAACTTTGCGCGTAACTTTCGCGTCAATTTACGCAAATCACGTAGCCCGTTGCCACTGAGAATTCTCATTACGAAACGGTGATGTTTCCACATCAAATTACGGATCTGTTTAGCTAAAGTAAATATGGAACTTTTCGTCAAAAACAAAATCTTTTCAAAAATTGTATGATCGCACAATGAAAACAATGCAAAAATTAGAGGCTTAAATCTGACGAAATAGCAGTTTGATTTTTAATTTCTAAATGTAATATTTTATCAGATCTTCTAACTTGTATTATTATTTGATACTGGTGCGATAAGTGAGATCGATATACATTTAATTTTCTATTCTTTCTAAATAACAAGGCTTTGAAGATTCCATCTGCTAAAGACTGCATCTTATAATTAGAGTAAGAGCATAGAGATAAAAATCGTGCTCTACCTTTAACGCAGGTAGCACCACCTCCAATTCCGCTGAGGCCGCCGGCGATTCCGAAAAGAAGCAAGAACGAAAAACCTATACGACTCCAACTCACAACTAGACAGAGCAATCAAATAACTCCTTGTAAGACGACTGATTCTTCGTCCGCACCTTCATCGGGAATGCCGGCCATGTGGAAAAACGTGGGTTCGACAAATCAAAAACTTATAAATTTGGATCCCTTCAGAAATCAGAATCAGACATCGCAGGTGATTAACTATCTTATATCATTTTTAGTTAAATTTCTGTAAAGCAAACTAGAGATAATGTAATTATTAACATCATCTACGATCAAGTCCGAAACTGATCACACCAAGCTGTGAACTGCAATGCGATACATTCATGAATTCATATCATTATTATTAAAAAATATGTTTGTCTAATAATATGGTTAACAAATATTAACTATATTTTCACTCATTAGTAAAAGAATAAAAAAACAGATGTTTTATATCTTTGTTAAGTGTTAATAAAGTTAATATCTATCGATTTGTTGCCTTGAAACAAAAATTAATCGATTTAAAGCGAATCGGTCGCATCAAAATGACTACTTCATTCGAGGTAAAACTCGTTTTATATAAATTTTCGATGAGTTGCAGGATTACTTGTTGAATTATGGCGAGGACTCGCGGGAAACGAATGACAATAACGATTTTGTAGCTGACTTCGAGCAAGCAAATTTCCAGGAAGGACGTAAACTCCCGCTAAATTCGAGCTTCGAGGAGTTGCAAAAGGTCTCCTTGGATCTCGAGAAACGGCTTCACGAGAGAATTATTAAGAGCGCCGAGGCAAAGTTCGAGGATCCGAATAGCCGTCAACGACAGGGCACTGTGTCGCGGCATAATAGGTGATAAAAATATGTTATTTATATGCAATTTTATAGATTTTTCAAATCTTTCTCGGTTGGACATCTTATTCAAAAGAACGATTGTATGTACATCTTATTACGTATAACATGCACGTTGCAAATTATTCGACGTTGTTGTCGTGTACATAGAGTAATATAGAACTATCTCGTCATGCTTGGTGTCGAGTGTTTATTTTCATGCAGTAGCCTGTGTTAAAACTACTCGAATGCAGAAAATGTTTTGTCGCGTATTGCTGAATTTATAAATTAGATACAAGTTGGTAATACATCAATTCGGGCCGACCTGCAGCGAAATATTACAAACATTACGCTCACAATAGGTTCGTTAAACGAAGCGTAAGTTCAGATTCCATTTCCGGTGAATCTGAGATGAGAATACTTGAACATTCTTGAGACTGCCAGTGCACTTCTTTACTATCCAAGTATCTCTCGTTTAGAATCTAGTATCTAGTTTAGAATATAAATTGCCTATATTACGGAAAATAATAACAGGCAATATAAAAATATTCTCAAAAGAAAAGCGCTTGTTTATTACAACGCATTTATTATATACTTGTTTAAAACATGTATTATGAGTCACTTTTTATTTTCTGTCATTATTTTTTATACAAGTGGCGTTAAAAGAAATCAACACGGAAAAAATTAGCTCGACCCTTTCAATCAGAAAATATTCTTCAGTATTGTATTCTTCAACATCTTTTATTTAATATTTATAAACTATATTGATCCGTGATTTATTAACTATATCAACAATCTGACATTTCTGATAAATCTGATAATGCAAAAACGTAGTCGTGACATTACGAAAAATAATATGATTTTAACTTTGATGCTCACAAGGAGTTGTCTTTTTTTCATGTAGACAACAAATATCAAAATTTACGAAAGAGAATGGCAGCTGCGAGCAGAGAGAATCGTCCGAAAGCAAGCCCAGGGAAGAAATGATGTTATCGCGAAGAGAGATTTTTCAAAAAGATGAATTAAAGTACGCAACAATTTTGACTTCCGGCCGTGAGCGACGATCGAAGTTCGAGGAGTTGCAGGCGGCTTCGAAGAATCTAGAGAGGTGTTTGCACGAAGACGATGATTATCGTCGACGTCAAGAGATGGAAAGACGAATAAGCAAGGACAAGCCACCCAGGTACAACATGCCTCCACGTAACTTCCTCCTTAATTTCGTCGAACGTCAATTCAGAATTTCATATTTCTCGTTTGAAAGCGCTCGTAAACGGATTAATTAACCCCGTAGTAAATACAAACGCGTAATTCGTTTACGTTTAGATACGAGGACCTAGAAGGAATCCCGCATGAACTTGACAAACGTTACCACGGCGAGCAAAGAGCTTTAGAACAGCAACAGCAGCACCCAGTAATGCGAAACAAATACGAGAGTGACATGGAGAGGGCTAGGAATATTCTTCAGCATAATCTGAGGAAGGAGCGAGTCGGTGGTGGCGGCGGCGGCAGTGAGAAACTCGAGAAATTGCCGAAAGCAACGCAGACGAATCTACCACCACCCCTGAGCGCGATTTGTCAGAGTCCCGTACCGAAACCTATCAGCGTCCGGCAGGACAGCAACGTTTCCTCAGACAGTTTCAGTCAAACCAGCTCGCCCAGCTACACCAGCAAGACAATGGAAGCCCCCCTTCTGCCTCACAAGCACGGGAAAGTCCCAGGTATGTTCTAACTTCGCCAAAGCTTATCGGATGGTTGTCTTAAAAGGTGTTATTATTAGCGAAGAACTAACAGAAGTACTAGAAAAACAGTCGTTGATTGCAATTTCTGCTTCAAAAAAAAAACTTAAATGCGTTTTAAATGTGTAATAAAAAGATCATTCTCTCGAATGTGGAGAATAAGATCAAGTGATATATCCAGTTTTCGAGCTATGAATTTTAAATAGTGCATAAATATCCAATTTTATTTAATAAACTTGATTTATTTAATGAACAATTTATGAATAAATATTTCGTCTTCTTGTACTGAAATTAATCTTCTTGTAATTTTTGGCAAAAAAATTCGATCAATTCTATATTTTTGGATTTCATTCTTTAATAAAAGATTTTCTCGATAGAATATTTTGCTTATGATACTTTCTTGCGACCCTCAGGGATTATCCTTTAAGCTATCACGCTTCTGTGTCAAGAAAAATATGGGCCGTTTTCCAGCAAGGAACACTGTGTTACACAAAGTCGTTTTATTGGCTACGTCTTATCTAAAACATCTAAGATAATATCTTCTAAGATAATATATAGCCAATAAATTTATAGCTTTGTGTAACACAGTGTTCCTTGCTGGTAAACGGCATGATATAGTGCCCCCTTTCTCCCGCTTTGCGACAATACTCCGCATAGTTCTTCAAATATTCAACGCAGTCCATGATTAGTTAGCAAACTATATCTTTAGGGAATTTCAATAAAATTCCATCAAATAAATGGCGATAATATTAAAATGAGAACGTAACACTTACAATATCGGTTTATCTATGAAAATTAAATCAGATTACAAAGGATTAAAATATAAGGGAGGCGTGTTTTATGACGTACTTCATGATAACAGGATACATCTCACAAATTGAAATTTCTTCTTTATATTCCGTTTCTCTCGCGAAACTCAAGGTATTTTCTTGAAAGCGACAAATAAACGCCAAGGCAAAACGCGACAACTGAGACGAGACGAGGAAAGCTTTTTCTGTCCTAAAGCGTCATCTTGTTTTCTTTTTCTCTCTTGCTCTCTCGTCGCTGTGTTATCGTTAAAGTAGTTTATCCGAGAGGAATAAGAAGTAAGAAGTTTCCCATCGCAAAATTCATCCATAAAAACTTCAACTCGTGGACTCCCCGTTTTTCGATTGGTAAAATTTGTATCTTGAAAGAGAGTCGCAACTTATCGACAAATTGACAACAAAAAAAATCGATAAAATCGGTCTTTATCGCCTTCTAGACAGAGCCTTAGTATCGGAGCCTGATAACTCAGCTGGCAGACCGATAACGAAGTCGACGAGCACGCCGGCCAGTTTGCAGACCATCGTCAGGATGCATGCTGGGAATAACAGCTCCTTGCATCATAAAGTAAGCGCTTAAATGTAACGTCATTTTCGTCAGCACAAACGAAGGGGCAAAAATATGAGGCCCTCCTTAAGTGTTCCTGTATCGTATAAAATTATAGACATTTATATTTCACGTATACATAGATTTATCTTCGTGTCGCATTTGACATTTTTTTATTTGTTACGACGTGCACTTTGCGAAAACACGTATTCTGAATGCTTTATGTGTCTGCTCAGATAATCAGGGACATGACTGGCAGCCACTACGTGACTACGGGAAGACTACGCTTCAGATTTGTGCAGGTTCTGCTTAACGCCGTTGCCCTCCTGGCCATTGCCGGCGGTTTAGCCGCATACTTCAAAAGTGAGTGGAGTAATTTTCTCGCTCTAATTGCAATTAAATTGTTTTCGATGCAATACGGCGCAATATCCAACGATCGGTTTAAACTGACGTTGTCAAAATTGAGGCCCGGTTCTACCAACGTCGCTTAACTTTAACCTTAGCTTAATAACTCACTCTTCTAACTCTCTAACTGTGCCCCTTAGAAAGAGATGAAAAGTGAGTTAAGCTAAGGTTAAAGTTAAGTGACGTTGGTGGAACCGGGCCTCAAAAGAATCGAAAATGTTAATACCTGCATCGAAATATATGCATGTATTAAAAAGTGCGGTTGTTTTTCTGGCATAAATAATGCAAGTGAGGTTGAGAAACATCGCAATGCAAATAACAACGTGTGATATTTGACCGGAATAAACACGCTTGTTAAGCCCTCCGAACGCTTTAATATGCGTGCATGTGCAACAACGAGCTTCGCGAGACCGAAAGATCAATAGCGCCGTGAGTTATAGTAATCCACTTGATTCCGAATGTCAACATTATCTCGGCAACAAACGAAAAACATGTCTCGCAAAGCTCTTTCCATGTCTTTAAAATCTTAAATTTTTTAATTTTACATCGAATAAATATCTCGGGCACATTGAATTTGCAGTCGACAGGTTATATCAATATTCATGTCAGTAAGATGGTGGATTTATATCACGATTTAAAGCAGAGATTGAATACCAAAATAAATTTAGCAATTACATATCGTGCATACTTTTATTTTTATAAAACGTGATGTCGAAAACTTTTAATTATACCGGTATTGTGAATAGTACTTCAAATATGTAACGTTATATATAACCGAAATAATTGTCATAGCACATGTACATAATTTTTCGATTAATACTGGTATTCCGGCATTTTACTGTCATTACATTACTGAATGTCGTTATTAATAAATCGATCATATTCGTAGTATTCCCGATGTACATTTTATGAGAAAGATTACAAGAAAAAAATAACATTCATATAAATTAACGCACATAATAATATAATTAATTAAAATAATTAGTTAAAGTTCCAAATTTATATACACTTTACCTCTCTTAATCTCTCTTTTAAAATATAAATTGCGAGTAACATTACAACAAATAAAAGCTTCAATTTATAATACTGCAGCCATATAATATATCGAAAGATTCATACCCCGATGTCGATCATAATATTCATACCAATTGGTTTTTATTTCAATATGTAACATGTAATAGGCAATTATAAAATGTCGGTATGTATAATAGACATTTTTTACCCTTTTCAATCCTTAATTTGAAGTATCAGGTGACAATATTACGTGCATCGTGGTGCCGCGTGTCTGCGGTTGACACGTTAATAATTACAAAAGTTCGCAACGACACATCCCGTCTGCCCCGCTCAAACACCCGAAACGTGACTGTTTTCAACACGGAGGTATATTAATACTTCTTGACTCGAATGCGACAAATCTATCCAGCGAGCATGACAAATGATTTAACTTATGTTTCGGTGATTCAATCAACGATAAAATAAATTTTTATCGAAAATAAATGGCGACACTTTCATCGATGGTGGTACACGACATCATTAATGAATCTTTCTCGTATCAATGTCCATATTTTTTTCATTAACTAGCGTATCCTGACTTCCAATTGGAGAATAGAACCATATACACGGCTCTGATCCCGATACCTGAAACGCGTTTCATGTTCGAGGACAGGAATCCGGCTCCGGGAATATGTCTGCCCATTATTGTGACTTTCTGCGAGAACAAGGTAACAATTGCACTCCAATTATAAGAATTCATTTATTGTCACACGAGTCGACGGGAAAAGTTGATATGAACCGAATGTAAAATATATTTAGTTTATCATATTTCATGTAGAATGCCCAGTTGCTAAAATGTAGGATGTTATAAAGGGAAAGAGGGCCTCTGGAGGTGTCCTCGAAACATTCGACACATTTTAGCGGCTTGTTAATATGTATTATCGCGAATAAGAGGTACAGAAAAACGTAATACGTATTACGCTTTTCTCGAAAGAGGCTTGGTCGCTTTCCGAGAATTTAAAATAATTTTGTACGCGCGGAATGTGTGTGCGCGCGTGGGGCGGCACACCGGAATTCGCTCCGGTATGCAGCATCGTAATCGTGCCACTTGCCCTCGGCGTCGGAATACCGACGAGTAAGAGTGACAACGTTACTTTCTCCCTTCTGCGTCCTCACGGACATTAGAAGCAGCCGTCGACGATCGTAATTTCGATGCGTCCGCGCCTCTGAATACATTTTCCACTCACTTTTTCCCCTTTATTTCGATGGCTCGTGCTTGAACAATGTGTGCTTTAAAATTCATAAGGCACTCACTGTGCAGCCGTGCGTTCTGAATTTTTCTGAATACGTACATGTCTGAGTACGAATGAGCTTGAACAACGGCGAGAAGATCGCGACGGTGTTATCATTAGAGAATTTAAGTGGAAAATCGGATGAACTTCCGAAAACTTTGCATATATTCTTCGGTGAAAATGTTTTGATTGATTTCAAAATAAATATCCTCAAGTGGATTTCTACCGATGAGAAAGATCAAGGCATAAAATGTTCTCAAGAATATCTCTCAATCAATTAATTTTCATTATTCTATTTATACCATAGTCTTAAATTTCAGATACAAATTGCTCTCTTTAAATTAATACTCTTGCTTGATTCTTTTGTGCAGAAAATGTTTCGCTTGATATACACAAAGCGCGATTTACACTGATAATGTGATTTTGAGACATGATTTTTTATGCATAACCACAATTTCAATTCGCAGGTTCCGTACAATTATACTGTGTTTCCAAATTTTATGGGCAATTTCGGACAGCGGGACGCCCAGCACGAGCTAGAACTTTACGATGCTATCGTTGACGTCAGATGTTACGAACTGGCTGCTCTATTCTTATGCAGTCTTTTCGTGCCGAAATGCGGGCTTCAAGGCAACGTCGTACGTCCCTGTCAAAGTCTTTGCCTTCGTAAGTATAAATTATTTGTTATCATTTAATTTAGAATCTATTTTATTTTTAGTTAGTTACTTTGTAATTTTTTTTTTTAATTTTTTTACAATTATTTCAATTCTCTCGTAATGTTAATGCAACATCCTCTAATCTCTTTCACACTTTTATGTAATATAATCCACTTGTTATCAGAATATGGATCAATACGTGCATCGTTATTGCCCGACAAACCGTAAATTACAAACGTAAGCCGTATAGATGCATTAACAGTAATGGTTAATACCCGTGGATCTTAATAGCGTTTGATTGCACTGTTCATCCTGTAAACTGTTTAACATGTATGGTAAAATCCATATATTGGATTTTGCGCCGCTAAACTGCTACATTTCCTTAAACCTTGTATAACACAAGCCTGATATTTCGGTCCTAATCAAATGGCGATATTCTTTTCGATTAATTTCAGAAACCGAACGACGCTGCGGTTTTTTTCTCAAAGTTTTCGGCTTGTCTCTTCCGAATTATTTGGATTGCGAACTTTTCCCGGACGATCTGACTATCCAGGAGTGTATCGGGCACTATGAAGTGATCGAAGCGGCAAGAAAAGCCGAGAAACCGGGTAAGTGACACTAGTCCTGCGCTGTTTCCGCACAGTTTATTCCGTTGTGTCTTTCTATTGTCTCATTTTCAACGTTTAATTAAATTTTCTATTAGATTGATCAAGAATATGCTATAGTTTATTTTATTAATGCACAAAAAAGACAATATATTATTTAATTAACTTGATAGGTATAACAGAAATGAGCTTATCACGAATAAAAACGGGTACTCCAATTATCCTAAACTGGACAATTGTAAAATTATAATAATCTCTTTGAAGCAGTTGGATGATACAGAGGATATGTAACATTGAAAAATGAGCCTTTCATTTTTTTAATGCTCTAAAGGACCGTCTACAATAGCCGTAAGAGCTATTGACCAACCACAGTCAATTATTCTGGGAATTGTAAAAATCCCATTACTCAGTAGCTTACTGCTTACGTCTTACTACATACTCTTACGGCTATTGTAGACGGTCCTTAATACTCTTTAATGAATTTAAAGAGTAACGTTTGAACAATTCTACGATTGAAAAAAATGCTTTCGTATGTTATTCTTGGCTACTCTCCACGGCGGAATATTGTTCATTTGCTGAGAAGTAACTTTTGTGTATCGTTATTTTCAAATTAATTATTATTAAACAATTTCAGATTAAAAATAATAATACATAAACATTTTATATTCAAATAATTTCTTATAAGATTTATCTCATTGCCAACGGAATGCCAACAAGAGATTAAGCAGCGTTTATCATTATACACCAACACTGAGATTCCGTTGCACAATACGGTTTTGTGTGGCTTTGCGCGAAATATTGTGGGACGCAATATTATTTATGAGTTTTCTGTCCTTTTGTTCCACACCGATTCGCGGGCGGACGTTAAATATAGAATGCGATCACAAAACGGAACTAATTGTTGACTAACTTGATGTCCATTGTTCATTCTTCCTTTGATATCTCGGACTCTGTTTACGCTTAGTATTTCTCTCCCTTTGTCTTCCTTTCTCGTTTATGTTCTATTTCCTATTGTCGTTTGGCTTTCTCTCGTGAAATTTCCTGAATCCGATCGATCGGTTGGCTCGCCCTTCGAAACTTTCCTTCCTGTGGAAATTTAATACATATTATTTCGATGATCTTGGTATTGCAATAGAAACTCTTTCTTATTAAAAACAAAAATCAAATCAAGATATACAGACAGTTTATTATATGATATTGATATGGTAAATGTATTATTTATTTTAGTTATTCTTTTAAATTAAATTAATAATTAAATAAAGGAATTATGCCTACACATAATATATAATTTTTTTAATTTATAGTATAGTATAGTACGATGAACGATACAAAAAGCTCGTTCTTCTATGTCAAATAGTGATGATAATAATAGCTACTTGTAATGATTAATTGTAAAACAAATAACAAGCTATTTATGACAAAGAGAGCGTTTAAACATGTGTGTTTTCTTTTCTCTATTTTTAAGTAGTTTCAATTTATTAGGAATAAATCATGACATAAGTGTTTAAGGATTGATATAACGAAAGGAATATCCTAGAAGTTTTTGAAGCGCTATGCACTGAATTTAAAAGATAGTCACGTGCACGTCATATGCATAACGAGCACGATAACGGCTCGCTTAAAATCTCGTGGAATGGTTCGCGCGATGAGAGAAGAGAGAATTAAACGACCGTACACGCGCGTCCTGCAATTTCCAAAGCAAATATTACGTAAATCGCGGCGACAGGCGTGGTGACAGGATTGATCGGAAGTACTCGTCCCTCGTCTGGTATAGTGAATTTAATTCGCGATAGGTAAATCGCACCAGCTGATAAAAAGAGAGAGAGAGAGAGAGAGATTCATCCGTCCATGGTTAATTAAGATTGAATTGCGCTGTAATTACTAAATCCACTCAATCGGGAAAATTCAACACATTCTCCAAGATTTCGATTGGTTGTTTCTCGATTTTCTTTCTTTCCGCATTTTTCTTTTGAAGCTTTCGCTTCGTCCCTCGGCGGCGATAACTTCCAATTCGATTTGCTGGTTTTACTAGCTTTCTTCAAAGGTAATTCTGCTATATAGCAATCTACGTAACCGTGTTGGCTGTGTTTGTTCAATAATGTTAATTTTGTTCGTTTAACAATGTTCAATAATATCCGGATGGAATTTTCTGAATGTTTCGCAAGCGTATTTAGCTTCTTGAGATTATTATAACGTGACCTGGCACGTGAAAGCACCAATATTCGTACAGTAGAAAACCTTCGTCAAAGGGTATTTCTATATTATCCAGTACATCACGTGTGCAGTTGAAACACTGAAGGCAGCAACATCTGTGCATGTTGTGTAATTACAAAAGAGGTTCAGCGACACCCTGTATGTACGCATACGTGTTCGCACATGCGGGAGCCATATCGCGATTTTGTGTACCCGAGCTATCGCATGTGTCACCGCTGATGGAATCTTAATTGCAAAATCCATATTAAACTATCGTATGACGGCCCATCTGCGGCGTCAAGCAGCTTTATTGAGTCGCGCTTGATGCATGTGTACATATCGCGCTTGACGCATATATGTGTGAAAGTATCGAACCGCAAGCGCAGGATCGATCGTGTCCATCGTAGAAGAAGACATATTGCGAAAGATAGGATATGTTACGACAGAGAGTGTCGATAATGTTAATAAGAGATATTAATATATAGGTAATAATATATTTCCGCGCGCGTAATTTTTGGCATGCTGATCCGGATTATCTTACACTTTCCATTATCTTACACGTTCCTTTCTCAAAGTAAATATCTCTTGTTATACTGCTATTTTCATTTATTCTCAATTTAATGTAAATAATAGCAAATGTTTCATTTGCAATTAAAATCTCGCTCAACTAATCCTCCTAGGCTATTACCATTTACCTCATTTGATACATACTAGAAATTTAATTAATATTTATTGAAATTAATTAATTAAATAGGATTCTAAATAATTATTACTCATTACAACTTCATTAATTAAAATAAATAAATAATTAATTAATTAATAATATGTAACATACACTGTAAAAAGCATATAAAATTGCACGAACACAGTGTGTACACTTTATAACTCGTGTGGATATTTACACTTGTTGTTCATGTAATTTTATGTACTTTCTTTTTACAGTATAGACTATATTGCATCGATTGCTAGAAAGCATCTGATCTCCATTTTGCTACGATTCGTTTATACAGTGTGCACCAGTGGCTTTCAGTGCGATGGCACAAGGTGCATTCCGTTCGATTGGCGATGCGATGGTCATCTCGATTGCTTGGATCACAGCGACGAAATCGGATGCGGGAACTGCAATTCCAGCACGTCGTCTCCGATGTCGGCGTCGACGTCCTCCACGTTTGGCAAGATAATCAAAGGACCTTCGAACAAAAATACCCTTTCTACGAAGTCTTCATTACACTGCGGCGAAAAAAGATGCATGTCGGCCAGTCATATCTGTGATGGAGTCATGGATTGTCCTTGGGGGCAGGACGAGCGATATTGCCGTAAGTAAATTCATACACGAGAAAGAATAATATATCGACAACGTTACTTAATAGCAGTCTAATTAAAAATAATCCTGTTAATTTAATAACAATACTAATGAGAACAGTACAAATAACATTTCATTAAAACAAGAGCGTGACATGTTTGCTTCGCTAATAATGTTATTAAATTAATAAGATTATTTTAAATTAGACTGCTGTATTAATTAATGCTGTTAGTATATCATCTTTTTTTTCCTTTTTTCTATTTTATATTCTGTGACTGTATTTTTAATCGATTGATAATTGCTGGAACTCTTTTATATTTTAAAATGTTGCTGCCAGGTTTGTAAGAGAAACTATCTCGGTTACAATAAAAAGTAATTCTATTTTTATCTCTTTTTACGGTTTTCAAATAATAAAATGTCTTTGCTTATTCAACGCTATCGCGAAACATGTAATCCAGTAATAGACGAATAAATTAACATATCGATAATACAGTATATCTAAATAATTAAAAAAAACTTTAAAATATTAATTTTAACTTTAATTGATTTAAACTAATTTTCGATTATGAGCCTAGATGATTCTCAGATTTCAAGTCCCATACTGCATCTCATTTTTAGTGAAATTAAGCGAGAGGAACGGGGACGTCGGCGAGGGCCGTCTGGAAGTGTATCATGCTGAAATGGGTAAATTTATGCCGGCGTGTGTCTCACACTGGGAGGCGACAACGTCGCCGCAAGAGGTTTGCGCTATGTTGGGCTATACGTAAGTTATCTCTCTTAATCGTTTGAATAACGTAAAATATGAATATTACATAATGATCGAAACATGCCATTCGTAATCGCAATAAATCGATATCTTTACAAGTCGTGACAACTTTATAAATGTTCATAAATCTTTATTTATACATTCAAGCTATCACATATTTGAAAAGAAATGCGTTGACATATTTATGTACATAATTGATTTTAACTTATTAACTTTACGCCTTTATCAACAATATATCAACAATATTCTGTCATCTCCTGGAATAAAAAAAATACCACGTACGAAAAATTGTTAAAACGATAAACGTGATTCCATTCTCAGAGCTTCAAACGGATCTAAATGGATTAACGACGTAACAACAATGAAGCCGAAAAGTTCTGGATATCATACCAAAAGTCTTAGTTTGCTGAAGCAATTTCAAAAATGCATCAAGGATCGAGAGCCTTATCCCACGATCAAACTTACTTGCGTCAAATATGGTAAATTATCGGAAAACTGTATAAGGAAATCGTTGAATTAAAATTTTCTAAAGTTTTTCCGGGATTTCTTTGACACGTGATGATCGATTCTGCTACAGCTTGCGGCCGCAGACGTTCCGTATACGAAAGGGCGAGGGTGAAGCGAATAGTGGGTGGTGTGGAGTCAGCCCCCGGTGATTGGCCGTTTCTTGCAGCCCTTCTCGGTGGTCCAGAACAAATCTTCTACTGTGCCGGAGTCCTTATTGCCGATCAATGGGTGTTGACCGCGTCTCATTGTGTTGGAAAGTAAGTGATTTATGCGTAACGTTGCAAAATACCATTTTTTATTATTAACAAATTCTTTACACTTATATGTAAGGGAAATGTTGCTTAAAATATTATTTGAACAGCGAATTATTAATAACACCTAACGGAGAATCTCAAATATGAATTGATTCTCTGATACACCGATTAACACACCGATGATTTCAGTTATTCAGAGGTGTCCGGTTGGACGATACAACTTGGCATTACTAGGAGACTTTCTCACACTTATCTCGGTCAAAAAATGAAAGTAAAAAGAGTCATACCTCACCCGTATTACAACCTGGGTGTTGCTCACGACAATGATGTCGCATTGTTCCAAGTAAATACATTTTCAATTTAATTATTATTGTGCGAAATATTTGAATCTTCCGTTTAACGTGTACCTATCGTATACTGTAAAATCATGATTCTTGTTCAAAGTTGGATGCTGTTTTAAATTTTTCAAGTAATATTATATGCTCGTATTGTAGCTTGAGAGGCCGGTTCAGTATCACGAACACCTGAGACCGGTGTGCTTACCAACTGCTGACATTGATCTTACACCCAATACATATTGTACCGTTATTGGATGGGGCAAGAAAAATGATACCGATTGTAAGCATTATTCATACATAAAAAAATGTTGCTTTCAAAATATTTACTTGCAATATTAATCTATGATATGTGTAAAATAAACAGTAATACTTAATAAAATATAACAAGTTAATATAACATTCTACAAAAAAATTTTTTTCATATATAATTATACTACCTGGGCTACCCGGGCTTCGCCCCGGAGGACATATGTAATAAAACACGCAAATACTCTCTCTCTCTCTCTCTCTCTGAAGAATTTTGTAATCGATTTCCAAAAAGATACCGGTTTCCAAAAAGATCGGTAACAAAAAAATACTTTATAGCACTTCCCGGGAAATTCAACCCCTACTTTATGTACAATTCTTTGAGATTCGGTCATTTGGAAAAAAATAATACACTTTTGGAAAAAATAATACACTTTATAGTACTCTCCGGGAAATATTCTACCCCTACTTCATATACAATTCTTTAAGATTCAATCAATTATTTCCCGAAAAATTAGAAAAATTTCTAATACCGGGTTCCAAAAAGATCGGTAACGAAAAATTATACACTCCCACTTTATAGCACTCCCCGGAAAATTCTACCCCTGTTTCATACGTAATTCTTTGAGCAGAGTGAAAATTAAGTTTAATTATTACCTTATTGCTTTATTCCAGCCTCTGAATATGAGCCAGCCGTAAACGAGGTTGTAGTTCCTATTCTGCCTCGACAACTCTGCAACACATGGTTAGCGCATAAAGAATTAAACGTCACCGATGGGATGATCTGCGCTGGCTATGAGAATGGCGGAAAAGATGCATGCCAAGTAAATTTATTACTTAAACAATTTATTTAAAACAATTAAAATACTTTATTTGTGTATACTCAACAGATGGTAAAAATGTTACGTATATGGCAAATCGAGAATTAATTTTGATTGTATTTTATAAAACTAAAGTATACATTGTTACTCAAGCCTAATTGCTTTAATTCTTGGTTTGTCTTAAATATCGCATTTGCAAAATATCATAAAAATATCAAATTATATGTGTATCCCACAAGAAATAGTTAGTTTTATCAGATAATACGTTGGTCTCAGAATATTTGTGTCCGAAAAACACGTCGCGCGTTATTTGCTACTGTAATTTTTAATTACAAAAGTATTAGAAGATAACGATAATTACGAATTATTCATTTTTCTTCAAGGGTGATTCTGGAGGACCTCTGTTGTGTCAGGATGAGAAGGACAAGGAGAAATGGTTTGTCGGCGGAATTGTCAGCTGGGGCATAAAATGCGCCCACCCAAAACTGCCCGGAGTCTACGCTAACGTACCCAAATACGTAACGTGGATCCAAGAAGAAATGTCTAAGTATCCGTACTCCGAATATGACGATATGTAGAAATAATAGGAAAACGTAAGCTACCGAATCGGGCAAAATATTCGATGAGGCAACATCGAAACAAATCGAACGGAAATGAAGGATAAACGTAGAACAAAGTAAACGCGGACTTTCACGTTTTCATATAATGACATGTATTGGAAGATATTGGAACCGAAAGTAATTATGGATTCTCCCAATTTGCTAATCTGCGCTCAGCGATTCCTGTACGCTCAATCAAAGGATAGTATTTTGTACACACCTTGTGCAGCTTTGAATGAAGAAAAAAGAGCTGAGTATTAATACGGATCGTTAATCTCATTCTTTGGGATTAGAAAGCATAGAAAAATAACACAAATTGATAAAAATCATTGATAATATAATCATGGACATTCGCTAAGCTAAAGGATGGTGAACGATGAATACGAACATAACCGAATCTTTCTTCGAGTGATAAGATTAATCCAATTAAGTCTATCAATCACATCAGGAAAACTATTTTTTGTCATATTATGGACAGATGATTGTAGAGAAACCGGATTTTCTATCATCAACATATACGAAAATACCGATATTTACTACCGCAGTTCTCAGTCATAGCTCGTTCAAGTAATACGAAATCACTTCACAATTTTTTCGTAAGACTTTATAATAAGCCAATCGAACAAGAGAAATGTGAGATAATCGGAAACATATAAGATACTCTACTTTATAAGTGAAGGTATATACGGATGCCGAGGATATTTGCATACACATAAGTTCAAATAATAAGCCATTTTCTAGGAAACTACTAGGTAAAAGAAAGAATAAAAAATGCCGATGTATGTACTTTTGGTACTTACTGAAATAGAAAAAATTCAGGATTTGTGCACAAAACAAAAATCCACGCATGTGATGCGACAAAAAATATTTTGTATCGCTGCCGACTTTAGGACAGCTGTATATGAGCTACCAAGTGGTCGAAAACCCCTTGATCTATAAGGGTGTGCGTTTAACGGCATTCAATGATATGAGTCGTTTGAGTGGTGTAAGTAGTATATGAGTCGTACATACCTTGCTATAATTTTAAAACTTTTTCTTTTTACAGTTATAGAAATATAACAGTTTTCCCCTCGGACTCAATAAAAAATATACACGGAGAGACTCTTAAAATTTATCCTGAAATCATGGTAGTTGTGGGACAACATGTATTATACCACCAAGAATTTTATGCAAGCTATTCTGATTAATATCCACCATAATAAAAAATATTAATATCTATTACATTAAAATATAAAATATGTTTAATTAATTTTACTAAAATATATCTAGGAAAATTCAATAATTTTTTATAATTTACCAATCTGCTTGGTAGTTTTTATCACGTTGTTTGTAAAATGTCTTTTGTATATTTTAAAAATTCCTTGGTTGCCAAGTTGTCCCAAGTTTATAGTGAATTTAAGAGTAAAATATAACAAAAAATTCTCTCCGTGTAATAATATATAATATATAAAAAATATAATAAAACAATTGTATTTCTCATTAAAAATTTTTAGAACCCTCTTATTTCTCAAAATGCGGATAATTTGGTTTAAATTGTTATCCACTCAAATTGTTATGCCACTCAAATGACTTATACATTTGTATGGCAATCATAGGAAATCTGTGATTTACGAACAATCCTCATACAAATAGAGGAGGATTATAAACGTTCTTTTGAAATAGCTTTTTCGTTGATATATCGCAAATTTATATTTGAAAAGAGAAGCTAAATGCTTTTCGATGGTTTGTGATATGCACAGTACTCTACACAGATATCTTAACATTATCAGAAGTTATATAATTTAGTATGTACTATATTAATATGAAGAAAACGTATATACTGAAGAAAGCACATTATATATATATACATATAATCGATAAACTGTATTTTTGTAAAGGAACGAGTTAAGCGCACACCCGCTACGGGTAAAATATCGTACACGTATTGCATAAAATGCATTAGTGTACCATTGCGTGTATATTTTAAATAATGCGCATACGAAAAGACAATATATCCTAAGAAACAAAAAAAAGTCTATGTGCTTATCGATGTAAATGGATTCCATGCGACGTAGACAGTTATCTACTATACTACTCACGTTCGTTATAAGAGCGTGTGCCAGGCATCCAAAACTACATAGTCGCATGTATAAACATAGACATAAGGGACATCGTTATATACCATACATTTTTATTAGACGTGATAAATTCTGGAGTCACACGATTCAACCCCGTGATCCGTATTTACACGTATAACATTCGAAACAGATCCAGTATATTACGAAAATACTGATGTACATACGAATTGAAGATGAATGAACTGCCACGACGAGTATAGTAGCGTGTATTTTCATCGTATATCTCACTGCAAATGCTACTCGATAAAAGATAGCGTCGCAGTCTGAACTCAATTAATTGGCGTTCACATAATTTCGTCTGTCGGGCTCATCGCTTCGCAGCATTTATCTTATTTTACAGAAAGTTACAGTATGCAAGAAAAGTCCCCGATGCTAGGCTGAGCTAACGAAAAATCAACGATTTAAATAAGAGAATAAATTTTATCTTCATTGTTATTATTACTTAGGCATCAAGTATTAATATTTGTTACAAATAATAGAGATATTTTTAATTCATTGTTATAATGTACAGTAGAGATCCTTTCTGCATACAAGAACGCATCTAGAATTTTCTGTATATTTAAAAAATGTATGAAATTTTTAAACAGAATAAATGAGATATACGTTGAGTTTATTTCAGATAGTACAATATCGCACATATTTTCCATTGATTATTGTTGTATTTTTGTGAGAAAAAAAAACACAATTAAGAGTAAGAAACTTTACGTGGTATACTTGCTCAGCCTGCCGTATTCTAATTGAAGTATTCGTACGTGCATCAGGTATAAATAAAGTATGTAAGTTGTTATATGTATCTACATAATGTTAGAATGTAAAATACCTAAGTAATAGGTATAGAAGCTTGTAGAAGTAGGGTGTTCGTAGCGCAGTTACTCGATATATAGACGTAAGAAACATGTTGACTGAATTCTAGGGACAATACTCTGCACCAGCACTTTTTTGATCTGCACTAAGAAAATCGTTTTTCAATGAGTATACTTTATACGAGGTACATCGTTTAGGAGCCTTACTAATTGACTTACAATTAGACCTTTTCTAAGCAGTAAGACGAACAGTATTGTTGGCCACGATGATAACTAGTATCCAGGTCGATTTATTTGCGAGCTGTTTTTATTTGCTCGCTTGTTATTCGAATTCTGCTCTCTATTTCTTTTTCACGAAACTTCCTTCTCATCATTTACGTTCGAATAAGACGCAACATATTTTCCTTATTACGTCTTAATAAAATAGTAACGATTAATATTCTATATAGTTTGTAATATAAAACAAATGATATTTTATAACAATTTGTTTCAGATAAGAAAAGAATGCTTTTTGACATATAAAAAATATGCAATAATTGTAAATTTGGATTTTCCAAATTATATTCCACATTATCTGAAGATGAATCTACTCAATTTTCTCTAAGACAGAAACTTTCAGACAATAAGAAAGAACTTGGACAATAATGGTCTTCCTTAGTATCCAGACAACAGTTTAGTTGTAAAAATGGATTATATATTTAAATAACCGACAATACTGTGTGAGCAGACAATAAATAAAGTTAGGAAATGTTCCATGATGGACAATAAATTATTCATTAAGGATTACAGTAAGGAATTACTTATAAACTTAGGATGTACAAAAGTGATTAACTAATATAATTAGAATGTATAATTACATTCTATTAAATAGTCTACTAAAATTGTCCCTTATACTATAGAAGTATATTGCAGTCAAGAACTCTATTTATTATTTCGTACAATATGAAGAGTATATAACATTTCTTTACGCGTTCTATTTGTATTATATTATATGGCATAGATGTATATAATATATATATTAATATATTGCTTTCATATATATTCAAGAACAGTTAAGAATTAGACAATCAGGAATGGTGGTATATTATTTTTATAATCGTCTGTTATATCTTATTAAGTAGTTAATGAGCTTTTTGTAATCTTCTCTGTTATATTATCCTGTTAAGTTAAAAGACAGTAACTGCCAAGTAAAACTTTTCCTACTTGTACTATATTTAGACTTATCCTACGTATAAACTTATCCTATTTTTACTATAATTCAAATTTCAAATTAATAATTATTATTTTTATTTCACATCTTTCTCTGCTTTTCAAAGATTTCGATTCTATGAATTGAATTATATAGAGTATACATATTGTTGTTAAAATTGTGTATAAAAAATGTTATTAATTATATTTTATTTTATCATTACGTCATAAGCAGTTATATTTTATGGATGTATTGTGTTACGTTTTAGCATTTTATAAAAACATAAATGTTTCTGAAACCGCAGATGCGTAAACAGAATATTGTGATGAAATGTAAAGTCAATGGTTTATATAGATGTATGCATCTTATACATATATGTATGTACATACATATAATACATATACAATAGTCAGATAATACAAGATAAGAGTATAGAGTCAATACTATACGTAATGCATTGGAGGAAAAGTTAGTATAAGATTTTATAGTTACATATTAACAAGAAAATTAAATTTGATGTATGGAAATTTAATTAAGAATTTAATACGAGAAATTAATTTCATTACTTGTATTTTAGTGCCAAATTAGAGATAGTAATGTAAATTTATTTTAGAAACATTTTCTAAATGTTTCTAAAATACACGATTTAGAATTTAGATTTTTAGTATAACTAAGAAAGGTTTCGTTATTCCTCCATTATATGATATAAGATTTTCATTACATAAAACCGATTTTTAAATCCTACAAACTACACAGAATAATGCAAATATTTATATAAATATTTACAAGAAAGAATGTCTAGAATTTATTTTATCACAATTTAGTATTATTATACAAACACGTTTATATTTCAAATAGGATTCAGACAAAAGATCTAAAAAATTTTATGTGCTAGAACTGCTCGAGATAGAAACATTCGAGTCTTAAGTTTGGATAATTCGTACAATTCGAATTAAGAACCGAATTATTTGAACTATTTCCAACATTCGAAGATTCGATTGTTCGAACAGTTTAGATGTCAAGTAAAATTCTTTTCGTCTCAATTTGTTAATTTCTTTTGTCGTATATAATATGTTTTAAGAGAAGAATATTAGATAAAATATACAGAAGAATGTAGGTCGTATTCACTTTTGCATGTTTATGTAGATACAAATAATATTAACAAAGAGAATTTCTAACATGAATTATCATAAAAATGATTTCTATTGGAAATGCGTTAAAGACACTGAAATAACGTTAGTTGCTGAATTTAGAAATTGTTTTTAGAAATGTATTTTGAGGATTCACGAGTCAAATGTCCGTAGTCAATTTAAGAGAACAGTTGTAGAGCGTTATAATTTATATAGAAAGTATAAGATTTGTTAGACTCATAGATCGTTTTTAAGTAAATTGTATTACGTAATGAAAGTAAGTTTCGCTCAATGTGCTACAGTTATAATTAGCGAGCTTTCCAGTGGTTACTTTCGCGCTAATACTCTCGAAAAAAATGCGTGTAGTCATAGAGAAATCTGTTACGCTTTTGTCACGTGCTTGAGAAAAATGATTCTAAGCCTTGGCAAGTATTTACTCATATTGAAGATGTGAAGAAAGGCTGCGCACAAAAATATAGGTATCTCTTGCTCTCTCGCGCGAGAAAATATTCTTTAAAAGATGATACGAAAATGCATAACTACTCCTGTGAAGTCAATGTTGGATAGTAAGGTAGTGTAAAGGATATACGTATCGTATATATGAATCGTCGCAAGATGTTGCACAAAGATTAGCGTAAATACGGAGCGCATGTGCACTTACTTGTAAGTGCGTTTGCATTAATTAGGTTCGATTATTTTTAATTGAGCGAATCGGAAATACATAGCGCGTAATTAAAAAAAAGAGTACGCTTTTTCAGTGTCAAACGGGAAGTTATGGATATATGTGAATTAGTAAGTCGAATGCGTTGTCAAATAAATGCACGCAAAT